CCTTCCTGAGATGGGAAAGATGGAGGGAGGAACGGGTTTGAAGGGGAGGGAGAATCAAGAATTATTTGGACCTGTCAAGTCTGAGATGCCAGTTAGACATCCAAGAGCTGATATAAACCACAACTGCATACAGTCCCCAACCAGAATGTAAGCTCCAAGAAGACGGGGGCTTTCGTCTGTTTTGTTCACACTGTATCCTCGGAACCTGGATGAGGCCCTGGCACATAGCAGTGTTTAACAAGTTTTTGCTGAATGAATGAATAAATAAATGAATAAATGTGAGTCTGAGGCTTTTGTCATTTGAAGTCCTAGCCTGCAGCCCTTGCTGATCAGAATGATAGAAAACAAACTGTGGCAACAAGCACCACTTATTAATACCTAGAATAGTGAGAGAAAGCAGGGTCCAAGGGGTCTCTTCCCTCTATTGGATCTCAAACTCAAATTTCTGGAATGGCCTGCCACATAGAGGAGAGAAGAACAAAGAGAATTGGGGGCCGGAGCCTGAACAAAGAAGTGCGCCATACTACTTATGTGATCTTTTAATATATAAGATCTTCCCAAAGAATGAAAGAAGGCTGAATAGTGATAGGGATTTCCTTCTTGAGGGAAAGCAAAGGGGAGAAGTGAGAAAGAAGAGACTTCCTCGAGAACTCCCTTCGCACTCCCAATGCTCATCAGCTAAGTCTCAGAACATCAGTGTTTGAAAGCTTTTGCCAGTATTGAAATTCAATATATGGCTTGGTATGAAAATGAAATGTATAGGAAGATATATACAGTTTGGTACGATTATGTATCATCCTACATCACTGTTGCTGGCTATGGCACCATGCCAAGTCTGGTGTTATTTGGAAGAACTGGAAAGAGCAAGAAAATAAAAAGAAGTAAGAGGGTGGGAGGAAGCTTCTTGGATTCAGCTTTGCTGAAATGCCGATAAATTGGTGTTAGTTGCCTAGGTCCACCTTTTGTGGGTGGACTCAATTATGACTCTCATTTGTGACACTATGCTTCCCATATCAGGGTAGAATTCTGTAACATTTACAAATATTCTTCTGTCTTGGAGAGAGGTGTCTAAATTGATCACATCTACTTCCTAAATCATTCTTTCTTACAATTGGGTCTTTGATGGTTGGACTTAAAGCTAAGACTGCGACCTGGTTCTCTGATCTCCTTCTATTAAGCTAGATCAGGAGAAAGGCTCTAGGGAGACACAGGAATGAAACTTATCTGTGGGGTTGGAAGGAGCTATGAATAGGAGAGAATATCCTCTGCCCCTTTGTATATCATCCCCCCATACTTGAAATTTTTAGAAATTTGCCACGGTGGGCAGCTCTTGTCCCAAGGTTTTTCCTGAGACCACCTCCTATCTCTTACTGTCCATCTTGCACATTTAAAAACCTCATTTCTTTTTCCTTTTTGTTTCTCCTTTGGTCCTCATATCCCTGACACTCTGGTGCTAAAGTGAATGGAAGTTCTGTATGGAGAGACAGCTTCCACTCTCTCTTGGAAGTAAACATGCCCATGTTTTTAATAGACAGATTATACAAACAAATTTCATGGCCTTGAATTTCCCAGATTCCCAATGTCCTGCTCTTCTTTGTATTTCTCTGTTTCTGGCAGTCTTTATTAGCTCCCTATTTATGTCAGAGTGGCTATTATGGCTGCTACATTTTCCTCCTCATAAAATTCATTAGCTTTGAAAATCATTTCTATTCACTCATCTCTGAATAATGCTAGTTCTGTTCAGATTTGATGTTGGTCAACAGATGAGATGAATGAATTTATTAACCCTGGCCCCACTCTGCCCACGGATGGAAGGCAGGTTGCTAGGCAAAGCTGCCTGCCCAGCCTCCAGTTTCTAGCAGGCTTTCGTTTTTGTAAGGACATAACTTTGTGAAATCCCTATTTCCTGGTTCTCTGGCATCTGAATCAATATAGAATGTTAAAACTACAGTTGCAGCGTGCACTGCAGCCAGGATGTTGAAGCATTTGAAGTAGCCAAACATATCTCCTCCCCCTACAGGTTCTGAAGCAATTAATAAAAACATGAAAGAATCAGGTAAGTTCGAAATATCAGTTCAAAACTAGCTTTTGCTGGAAGCTAGTTTGGAGACTGTGACTGGGGCCTGAATGTAAATTTGGGTTCCTAATACATCCCCTTAGTCACTGATAAACAATAGGCCCCTCCCAGATAAAGGAAGAGTCTCCCCAGATAACTTACCACATGTTGCTGGCAGGCTGTTGGAGAAAGAGAGAGCCGAAAATGCTACTCTTGCTAGAACTATATGCCACTGCTTTTTCATAGCAGAAGGAAAAAAGGGTGGATACCAATACTTTCAAAAGGGTGGAAGTTTCTATTTTATAAGCAGTCAAAAGTAGGAGGAGATGAAGAAAGTTCCACAAAGAGTTCTGCCTTATACCCTCCCTTACTGCTCTTTGCTCCTAAGGTCATATCACCCAGAATGCACTGTGCCACCCCTGCTCCCCATCTTTATTGCCCAGCTGTTACCTAGGGTGTGAGATCTCCATCTGGATGCGGAAAGGTGTAGAGGTACAGGGATGAGGAAGACCAATTTGTAGGTCCTACCATAGATCAACCCCCAACGAGTAGTAGAAACGGATGATCAAGCTGAGTTTTGGCTGCGGTAGCCCCTATGTCTGAAAAGGAAGATAATCAGTGGGGAATGTGTGATGCATTCACATTATCTTCTCTGAGATAGTCTCTGTTTATTCTAGCAAATCCTGGCTCTGCCGTGAACTCAAGACTAGTCGGGTTTTTCAGTCTAGATTTATCTGCCTTATAATTGGTAGCACTGGGTTGTTTATTAAGCTTTGGTAATTTTTGTGAAGTTTTTAAATCTTTTTCTATACCTTCAAAGGTTGCAGTTGAGATGCTTTAAGGTAGAAGCTCTCCTCCCTTTTTCATGCTATTGTTTCTTCCCATGACCTTGCTCCTGGTTCTCCTCCAACCCCCAGCCACTCCTTCTCAGCGTTCTTTATGCCAGCCACTCGCGATGCTCTTCTCTCGGTGTTTATATGGTCCAGGCTCTGCCCTATGCCTTCCTAGCCTCCTCTCAGCCCGCTGTTTCTCCTGCTTGATTTCATCTACTTCAATGGCTTCAACTAGCAAGTATACTTGAGGCTAACCCTCAATCGGTAATTCTATCCTAAATCTCTCTCTCTTGAGCTCCAGACCCATGTTTTAAGCCATTTATTAGACAATGTCCCCGTCTGTAGCTCATATTCAACCAACCAAAATCAAAATTTGTCCTTTATCTCCCAAACTTGGTCTATCTCCTTTATTCTCTAACTTGGCAAATTGCACCTCCATCCACTCAAGTAACCAAGCTAAAAATGTGACTGCATCCATTAGCCTGTGGACTCAGTTGGCTACCAGTCTACTAACTCTACCTTCATAACATCTGTCGGATATCCTTCCTTTATCCCCTTCACTGCTGCTACTTTGCTTTAGAGCCTATGTCAGTTTAGGTTTTTTGGGTTGCAAATGACAGAAATGAATTCTGACTAATTTCAGAAGAAAAGGGGATTTGTTTGAAAGGATACTGGGAAAGCTTATAGAATTGAAGGGAAAACTGAATAACCATGCTCCAGGGGGACTAGATCTGGGGCGCCTCTGAGGACCTCCACAAGTGGAGTTCAGTCTTTTTGTCTGGGACACTGCATTAAGTAACTTAGCTACAATCATCTTTCATATCTGTGTGTCTTTATCAAACTTTCAAATTCAAATTCCTAGCAGAGAGATCTGGTTGGTCATCTTTGAATAAGTCATCCAGGACTAAGAGACAGGGGTGAGTGGCACAAATTTGTGACCATTACAGACCCTTATAATTTCTCAACCCTTCCTCACTACTGCTATAGCCTTCTCAAAGGCCTCCACCTCTTCCCCACAGTTCACACTGCCACCATTTTCATATTTCTAAATATATATAATAGCCCAATGTGTCTCCTTAGTCAAAATCCCTCAATAGCTCTTCATTACTCATGGAATAACATACAAGCTTCTATCAAGGACTTCGACTCTAGGATTTGGACCTTGGCTTACTCTCAGGCTCCTCTCTTGCTACCTTTCTGTTGAGGCTTATGTTCCAGGCACACTGCAGTTATTTGTAATTCCTCTGAACAAGTCATGTTTTGTTCTATTCTCATGTTTTTGCTTGTGTTGCTCCCCCTTTCTCAAATGCCTATTTTCGCTTCTCTTCACCTGGTTAACTCACACTCATCTTTCCAGATTCAGCTTAGGTGTTAGCTCCAAATCTCTTCCCATCTCTTCTCTCTGGTTTAAGTGCTCTTCCTCTTTGCTCTGACAGCATTCTGAACTTTTGTCTAATATAGGTATTGTACTCAGTTCTCCTTGTTTCTCTTCCTGGCCAACTTACGAGCTCTATGAGGTCGAGGACTACGTCTGACTCATGTTTGGTTCCCGTTACTTAGGATGGTGCCTAACAATGTCATAAAAGTTCAGTAAATATATTGACATAAACAAATGTTGATTTTGAATGCCTAATATACAAAGTATTGTAAGGGGAACAAATATATATAAATTCAAATTTCCACTTTCAAGAAGCTTACTGCCTAGGAGGCAGACAAGACCCGCATGTAAGAAAAGTACGGGTAGAGCTACAAGATACTATAAAATTACTTGCACAAAAAACAATGCCTGTAGGCTAGAGTTTTGGATTGGGTTGATCTGAAAAGTCTTCTCTGAAGAGGAAAGACCTGAGTAGTAACACAAAAAAAGAAGAAGATTCAAATGGTTTGAAAAGGTTGGGGAGAGTGTCTTAAGTATGGGGAATAAGAGAGAAATGCTCACTGTGTTTGAGGAATAGGGTGAAAACACTGGCTACTGTCGAGGTTGATTAAGATATGGTGAAAAGGTCAGTGTGTGTGTGGAGGGAAGTCGTAGGTTAGAGAAATAAATTGAGCAGACTGTAGCAGATTTTGTATGCCTTTGTGCTTTTCATTCTCTGGTTCCAGCATAGAACACTTCCGCATTCTAGATTGCCTGATCATCACAAATTCCCTGTGTCTCCTCCAGAATCAAGAAAGGAATATTAAGATATTTTCACAATGGAAAGTTTCCATGCCAAGGAATTTCTCCTTCCTCCCTGAACTAAGATTTCCTGATGTCCTTCAAGGTATCGTACACCAGATCTTCCCATTCCTGCTTTGAATATAATTTTTGTGTTCATATGATTTTTTTTTCCATCCTGGGTTGCTGACAAGCAGCACAAGACTTGTACCTCCCAATCTGATGGCTCCTATTTATTTTAGTTTCAATATATACATAAACTGGACTCACAATTCCAGAAAAACTAAAGGCGAGAAAAAGGTGAAAAGCTCATTAGTCTATTTCCTTCCAAGGGAACTTGCAGAGTTTAGCTCGGTCTAGTCAGAAACTCTAGACAATCATCTTTAGGGTTTATGATTAGATATGAAGTTAGACAATAACCCTAAATGGTCACCTATTGGTAACCTAAATGGTAACACTATTAACACTAACACAGATCATTCCTCCAAATCCATGGGGTTTGTAGAGGCTTGGGCTGATAGCCCTTATCAGTGTTCTCCTTAAGTGTCAAGGCCCCCTTAATTTGACCCAGTCCTACCTATCCCCTTTTATTTTTTGCTACTTAGAGTAACAACAGCAATGGCAACAAAAACAATAACAAATAACCTTCCAGTTAGGCTACTTCACACACTATCCTGCAAGGCCTGGCTCAAGCTTCACAATCTTTAGGAAACATACCCCCAAGCTTCACTGACCACTCTTTTCTCTAAACGGCGGGTCCTACATCATCAACTTTTATCCTCCATTTTTAACTGACTATATCAAAAAGTGTGGCAACTCCCTGCCGCCCCCTGACACACACACCAATATCTACACGTACTTTTCCAAGCTTCTCAGGCCTAATCTACAGACAAACATGGTTGTATTGAGAGGGGAAGTAAATTAAAGGATGTCTGCTCCTCCAACTTTCTCCCACAACTGACATGGGAATTAATTTCATTTCAGGTCTTTAGTTGGTAAATCTCACCACTATCATGGAATTAGAACGTCACCTTTAAATCATTTGGCTAACTCCATGTTCACAGATGAGGAAATTGAGGCCCCAAAGGATGAATTGACCTCCCTAATATATTAGCATGTATTGTCATTATTGTTTCACATTTAACAATCACTTCCTCTTCCCTCTCCTCATTTACCAACTAAACTTAAGTTCTTGAGGGCAAGGATCATCATGTCTTGTGCATTTTCTGCATTCACAGCAGCACCTATCAGTCTTCTCTTGTTTCCCATACAGGATCAAGAATGGGGCTAGACACACAGTGTGTGCTAAGGAGAGAATGTTTGGACTGAAGTGAATCCCTGCAGAACGTGGACTATTTAGAGGCACCGAGTTTGGCCTCTGGGTGAATACTTGCCTCGGGTTGGCCCACTTAGCAGTGATCAGCAATGGGCCAAAGGAGACATGCCAAGTGTGTAGTCTTGTTTGCCCAACTAAGTTATAAACATCATCTTATACAAACTTATTTTGTAACCCACCATGCTTTGAACAGTAATAGTCACAGAGTAGAACCTCATTTAAAATGTTTTCATTGAGGCTGGCCCCGTGGCCGAGTGGTTAAGTTCACATGCTCTACTTTGGCAGCCCAGGGTTTAGCCAGTTCAGATCCTAGGCACGGACGTGGCACCGCTCATCAGGCCATGTAGAGGCAGCATCCCACATGCCACAACCAGAAGGACCCACAGCTAAAATATACAACTATGCACTCGGGGGATTTGGGGAGAAAGAGCAGGAAAAAAAAAGATTGGCAACAGTTGTTAGCTCAGGTGCCAATCTTTAAATAAATAAATAAAGTAAAATGTTTTAATTGACTAACTGTCCTCTGATCAAAAACCAGATCTTTGTCTGTGTTTCATGTAGCAACTAGAGTAGCTTTGCCAAAAGGAAAGCACCAGACTGTCCAAAATGGACACTGCTGGGCTGAAGAAGCATTTTTCATGCAGCTCTACACCTTAAATTGGCCTGAAGAAGAGTATCTGGGATCCTGTACTGCCTTTTAGATACCAAAGAATCATTTTGAAAAGTGCTACAATAAAGATTATAATATATTATTATTAGATAACTTAAGGTAATAGCACATATTAAGAGGGCATACATTTTAAGATGTTAAGTGGGGCTGAATTTATTCTGGTCTACCCACAATGTGTCACCTGCTCCCCTTGGGACTATTTTTAAGACTTCTGTTGTGAGATGGAAGCTATTCACCCTTGGTTGGGATTTGATCCTGGATTTTGGATTATTTGTGCCATGCTATAGCCAGTTGACCTACCAACTACATAACTTGGCAATTTCTTCTTTCCTTCTTTTGGTCCTTACTGTGCCACCCTCATTTTCAAAGGAGAGAGGTCAAATTGAGGTAGTTGCAGGATCCTACTTAATTTGAGCTAGTTTAACCCCCCAAATGGAACTATTTCCATGGAGGAAGCAGGAATTTTAATCATTAACCCAATCTTACTGAAGAGCATCTTTCACTCTGTTCAGGAAGTAAATAAGTTTAGCAAGAATCAATCAAGGAATCCAAAATACTTTATTACTAAATATTGCAACTTCTGCCCCTTGCCCTCTTTTCTCTAACAGGAACTAGTATCTGGGTGGGAGATGGGAAAGTAAGTGAAGGAGCAGAGTATGAGAAGATTTGCCATTGATGATTATTTTTACTACCCTAGTTCTAGGAGGAGAAACTTAGATGTGGTTAGGAACATGAGGGAGCCAGTAATCCAAGCCGGCTCATTAGAATTGGAAATTTAGTTGTGAAGTTCCGCTAACTATACTCCTTCTCATGGAATCATTGGCTAATCATTGGTGAAGACAGAGCCATTTCTACGTGGAGAAGAGTAGGCAGGTAGGCATCCAAACAGCAGGTGGTCTTTAAGGGTGTCATGAGGGTCCAGCTATCGAAAGGAATTTTCTTAAGCAGTCTACTAGAGCACTTCCTTGAATGGTGTAAAACCCTTATTTTAGAAGAAATCAACACATCAGATGTCATCACATCTCCAAGAGGTCCTACTTGCTTAACTCTTCAAACTGAGGTTTGGTTTTTTCCCCAGGATGCAGTCTGGATAATGAATCCTATTCTTTATTACTCATTCTTATTCAATTAGTGATCCCCTAAATAGAGCTCTTCTAAGTGAGGCCCCCCAACTTTGCTGTGGGAGATTGAGAACATGCAGAAGACCAGGCCTCTGAGTAAGAAAACACAACTGGATGTTTTCTCTCTTTTTCAGGTTGCAATGTGCTAAATCAAAGACTCCAAGAGTTAACATAGTTAAACTTGAGAAAGGAATCGTTGTCGATAATGATGAGGTAAGGAAGAACATTAGCGAATGTTCATTTGTAATCTTTCTTTGGAGTTGCTTAGAGTACTTTATAAACTGGGTCCCACAAACTTCCGGTTACAAAGTAGAAATGGGTCAAGATTTATATAGAGAGAAAGGTTAATTTATCTAATTTTATTCAAGGGAAACAGAGACACAGAAAAGAAAAGAGACAGGGACACATCAGCAATAAATCAGGACTCAAAACCCAGGGACTAGAAACCTATATTAGGGTGTAAGTGAGTGGTTAGACTCTGACTTACCCAGACTTTGTAGCCATCTCTTGCAACAAAACTCCATTGGGTATCTTGGTTGCTTCCCTGGGTTTAGCATATTTGAGTGAATTTTCCAGGCCAACTTTCATTTTATTAGCCAGAGATAGTGCAATCCAACATAAAACTAAAAACATATTCCAATTTGGACACTCTTGCGGGTTTAGTCAGTTGCTGGAGACTAATTCAGAACGGAGATGCGATACCTTGGAAAAATTCAGGAGTAAAAACATTTTACCTAGAGACATTCCCCCCATAATTAATTTTTTGAAAATCTCATAAAAGTCTTCACATCTTTCTCTCAAATAAATTTTTCCGAGACTTCTATGATTCTAAATGTATATATCATATCTGTGAAGCAGGTTTTTCATAATACATTCTTGTTTTGAACAAAGGTACTTCAGTTTTCCAAAAGGTAATAAAAGTTAAATCACTGCGTCCTTGGATTTGTCCCATGTTTCATCCCACCGTCCCTAAAGGAATGTGGGGCATGGCTCTGCCACTCTTCCTCCCGGTCCTCCTCCAATCCCCAGGAATTGCCAACTCCGGGCATTTTCCTCCTGTAGCATAATAGCGCCTCCCCTCATCGCACAGTTCTGACCCATTCTTACTACTTCCCTCTTCTCCATTCACCTTCTTGCTTTATTCACCTTTTCAGTGCATGTTCCCCTTTCTCTCTGTACCCCATCGTGCCATATCACCTCCCTGGGGGCACACCAATCTTCCCATCATCCAATCATCCAAATACAGGTTGTGCTCCCCTCCTCTTATTCTGATTTCTGATTATGCCAAGCCCAAGGGAGGTAACTCAGAGCTTTTCTCTCCTTGTGTTCTCATCCCTTTGATTCATCCTTTGATAACCCAGGTCTAAGCTAGAGGCGAGACAACATTGCTGGGGTCAGAAGAAGGAGATGGAAGAAGCCCAGCTCCTCTACCACCAGATGTGACACTCAAACAACCCACCAACCACGAGCACTACCACCAGCAGAAAAAATGCAAAGTGGTAGATGGAAGTGTTACTAAAATTCAATTATTTTTGCAACTTTTCAGAAGAATCACATATGTACTACAGAAATATTCAAAAATGCAAAATGCACCGTGGTTTCCCCTGCCTCTGTGAGTGTATCTGCTTGCAGCTCAGTGGGCAGTTATCCCCAGGACTCCCTTCCACTCACAATCGGAGGTTCTTGCCCTTTTGTAACTTCCTTTCTCCTTAAAAATTGTCCTCCATGTTGATTTTTGCCTGATTTTACTCCTGTAGAAACGGAAGAGACAGAAGAAAGAGATGTGATCCCTTGGAGTGATTTGTCCCCATGTGAACTTTGATGCTGCCCTTGTCCACTTTACCTCCTAACAGCTTTACCTGACTGATAAAGCTGATCCACATTTCTGTGTATAGCGTCCCTGTCAGAATGTCTCAGAATCTAGCTCTCTTTGCTGTGGCCCGCATTCCAGAAACCCAGCGTGCAAAACACAAAGCACAGTGTTCTCCTCACTTAATTTAAATTAGAGACCAGTTTTTAGCCAGACGAAGGAGAGGTAAGGAATGGAATACACTTTAGGAGGGGTGCAATCTGAAACCACTAATTTCGACTATTGTCTCCAGATTTATGATGCAGTCGGGCAATCAAAATTTGTTCTGCGGAACCTTCGGCATTACACAGTCCATCCAAATTTGGTAGGTGGAAGAAACATTCCCCCAAGATCCCTAAGGGCAAGTTTCAGCAGTGGTGCAGAGGCCCCTTGCAGAGTACCCTCCGTGCCTCCAAGTGCAGCCTGCTTCTGTGACTGTGCATGTTCGTAGGACAGAGAGGCAGAGCTGTCCTAGGGTACCATGCCAGAGGCAGTGCTGGGAATGGTGGTGGTGAGGGAGGAGGGAGGAACTGGGAACGCGGTGGTCCCTGCAGCTGATTTTTTTTCTTAAGTTGAGAAAGCATATTTATAATCAGGAGGTATTTCATTCTCTCCCTCTCCCTTCCTCCGTCCCCAATCCTCTACCTTCCTCCTATTGACAGAAAAGCAAACTTAGTGGGACTACCCCTTCCCTCACCCACATCTTAAGTGACAGGCTGTCTTTTGTGACTGCTATTCCTTTTTAATGTTGTGCTTATTATGCATGTTAACGTGGTTGCGCCTGTGGAGAAACATTGGTGAGTGGGAAGATAGGGCTAAGAGCTGTGTTGTTGCACCCTCAGAATTCCCTGAGCAAGGAGATTTGGTCCCTGGTGGCTTCTCCCTTCTGCTGCAGAGACAGTTGTGGAGAAGGCCATTTAGGTTCAACATAGAAACCTCTCTGGTTGCCCCATTATGCTGGGCATTATGGTACACTGTTTTAGAAGAATTAAGTCACCTTACTCCTTTTATTGTGAAAACTTTTCCATCTTACTTCCCCAGCCCCTTAGTCTATTTGCGGGGAATGCTCTCAAGGAAGAAGGGGACAGAGAGCTTTAGACACTTTCTGTTAAATACATTTCAGAACAGATTTGTCTAGCCCCTGTCCAGCTTCTGTCCCTGCCCCACAGAGGCAAAAGATTAGCCAACTGATCTGTTATTCTCCTCCTGATCTAATCCCTTTGTCTCTCTGGAAATGTTTCTGTCCGCTCAGGCCCAGTACTATGAGCCTTTGAAGCCCACTGCACTGCAGAAATTCCTAGCTCGAAACAGGAAAATCCAAAGCTTCACGTTAAAAGTAACACAGTACGATCAGGATAAGACCTTATTGATTATGACCAACAACCCTCTTCCCTGCCCCATCAACCAACAAGGAAAGGACATCACGCCAAAGTACTTTTCCAAGGAATTACTGCTCAAGGTAATGGCACCTGGGGAAGTTTCCTGGCCCCCTGAAGGACCCTGAAGAATTAGGAGTTAGCTGGAAGAAGGTTGCTAACTTAGCATGGAGGATGGTATTCAGGAGCAAACCTCTTTCTTCTTCTTTGCTATATGCTTTACAAAACAAAATCTGGAGAGCCTGGGAAAACTCAGAATCAGAGTTGTACAAGCTGGAGTCATGAAACTTCATTGCAGGGAGAAAAGATGGTCTTAATTAGAAACTACTCCTCTCTGGTCTAAGATAGTTTGTAATTAACAAAGGGTAAACTAAGCCACTGGCTTTCTAGTTGATGAAGTAGCAAAGGATAAATCAGGAAATGAGGAATAAGGAACAGAAATGAATGTTTACATGGGAAAGGAGCAAAGGGTTATGCCTTATACTCATTGCTTTTGGGTGTCAGGAGAAGGGAAGAGGAACAGAGCAGAGAATTTACTATCACAGCAGCCAGACATTTGGGACTCTGTTTTACATGAAAGGAATTCAAATTCATTTGATAAACAATTGCTGAGCATACACTAACCTAGAGCTAAAATATAAAGATGGTTATAGGACAGTTTCGTCTTGAAGGAACCTAGAGTCTGATAAGAGAGACAGGTCAATAAATGAGATATATAAAAGTAATTATAATATACCAGGATATGTGAATAATAAAAGAATATACAAGATACGAAACTAAAATGGAGTAGAGATTAATATCTCTGTTGGGGGAAAGAGAGTAATCAGGAAGGTTTTACAGAGGAGGTGACTCCTGACAAAAGAATAGGAAAATATTCCAGTCAGAGGGAAGGGCAAAGGCATGGAGACATGAGAAAGTGAGGTGCATTTAGGGAAATGTAAGACAGTAAATGGCAGGAAATAAAAGGATATAATCAAATTTGCAATTGAGAAAGATCTTTTTTGGAGATTGGGAGAAAGACGCATTATTTGCGAAAGAGACAAAATTCAGAAAGATTAGTTACGGTGTTACTACAGTAGGCAAGGTGAGAGATGCTGAAGAATTGAGCTAAATCAATAGCAGAGAAAATGAAGAAAATCAACTTGAGAGATTTTTAGGAAGCAAGAGCTAAAAAAGATGTTTTGATCCTTGAGAGAGTGCCTAATATAACAAGAAGAAATTAAATAAGTTAAAGTGCAAACAAGAGAATCTAATTATAACAGAAATTTGATGCTGGGAATGGAATTACCCAAGACAGACCTTTATAATGAAATGTGGTGAATTTGGAATTGTTATTTCCTTAGTTGCTAGCTGGATGGCAGTGAGAGATTCCTCTCCAAATGGAAGACAAAATGCTAATATCTAATGGTATATGCTGACAAAGGAGTCAATTAACTCATTGCCTATAGTCTATTGGGTCTCAGAATTTGTGCCATTTGAATGTAAACTCAACAGTTGTTTCTCATAGTAGTGAGTAAAATACACTGAAAGAGGGACAAATCCAGGCCAGGATTGCCCTGTTCAAGGTAGAGAAGGAAATACAAGACTATCACGTAACCTTGGTACAAGAAGAGCTTTCTTCCAACGGCTGGCACTTTGTGAACCTTCCAGATCACATGCAGGACCTGATCACAGTCATGAGCAAATTGTAGTATGAGCCAAATTGTGTTAATAGAAAGAGTTAAGACTTTGATTGTCAAAGACTGGCACCATGGTAATTTTATGGGGCTATCTGGAACAAATCCAAGAAGATGGAATTGCCCAATATCTAGAATGCTTCTTTAATATTTATGTTGCATCTCCTCCTCCTTTTGCTTGACAAATGTGACAAGCTTTTGTGAGCCTAAGATCACATACAAAAGAAGAATTCTTTTGCTATGCCCAGGCATGTGTATAAGAAGAGTGTGGGTTCCAGCAAGTAAGTAGTAGAATGGACCAGACATGTCTATCACAGTGATTATTACACTCACACTCCCTTATAAGTGAAACTGACCTGAAGAAAACGATGCCCTAAGAGGTCCTATTTTGTACAACTAGACTTAGTCCTCTAGTCCCAGAGCAGAGGAGGACCCCAGACCCAGTGAAGCAAAATTCATGGGCTGGTTAGTGACCTGTGGTGTAGACTGGTACTCCTAAACCAAAACAAACCAAAAACTAAAAACCAAAAACCAAACCATAACCAAAACCAACCAACCTGCCAACAACCAAAATCCCTGAGCTAATCAGATTCTTGCTGCCAGGCATCTGAATTGGGAAAGGAAAAGATTTAGGCAGTGGGAGGGAAAGCTGAAAGGACATCTAGACATAGGCCATAAAAGAATCAAACCATGAGGAGGAAGGTAGTGTGGGGACCGTGGAAGCAGAGTGGGGGCAGGTTGAAGTTGTAGGGAAGCAGAAATGAATAAGCAGAAGCCGCAGGTAGGAAAAAAGATATAGACAGTAAAGGTACGGAGTGAACATGGTAGAGAGAGAAGGAAGCGGACAGGAAGAAAGTAGGAGATGTGTTGATGATGTGACACGAGACACGTGCGGTGGTGGTCTTTAGCAAGTACTGTCCTGGACTCCAAATAACCTTTCTGTTCCTGTTTTTCTGCTATGAGGTCTAGTTCTGCTTAGGTTTCTGTTCTTTTTGTGGTCAGATTGTTAGCTATGTCTTAGTGCCTAGGCACAAGGACTCCTACAGTAAAGGCCCTATTAGTTGAGGTAACTTAAATGGATTCCTGTTCCTCAAAGCTGACAGAGCTTAAAGAGAATGAATACAGGATTAAAAAGCCATGGTTCACCAGCAAGTATTAAAAAAAAAAAGAGGCTTTTAAAATTTTGAAAGAAAAAGTTCAATATGTGTCAATTAATTAGTCATTCATTTATTCTTTCATTCATTCAACAAATATTTATTGAGCACCTACTGTGAGTCAGGCACTGTTACGGGGGGTGGGAATATATCAGTGACTAAGCCAAATTCTGCCTGAATGAAGTTTAATTTTAGTGAGGGAGACAGAAAATAAGCAAGCAAACACTCGCACTCCCATTCTGTGGCCTTTTCACTGCAGACAGAGAATGGAGTGTGAATGGGGCAGCCACTGAGGAGAAAGGAAAATAGAGTCCTATGGATCTATTTCCCAATTAGCAAATGTTTGGTTTCCTAAGCAATTCACTAATTGAATCCTTCCCCACACCAAACAAATTCCTCTGCCATTCACTTCAAAGGGTCAGTGGGCAAGTCCAATCAATTACTTAGGAAACTGACCAAGCTTCAGATAACTCATCTGGCAATGAAACAAACAGGTATTAGCCCACTCAGGGAACTGCTTCCTCTTCTTTTGGTTTCTGAGTCCCCATTTCCCTTTCTGACAGTTTTTGTTGCATCATTTTAGGGGAATTGGAGCTTAGCCCAAGAACTCAGTTCAGCCTTTAAGTCCCAAGGGACTCAGCTTACTCCCTCACTTACTCTTCTTCCCTCTGCTGCAGGAAAGTTACCATCATCACAGACCCACTGAAAACTTGTGCCTACCCCTGATGTCTCAGAAAAAAAAGTTAAGACTTGGGCTAAAACCAGTCTTTCCCGTGACACTGTTGGAGGATCCTACATCCAAGCGAGAACAATGGTTTAGGTGAAGCACTGGCTCTTCTTGTACTCGTTTCCTTTGCTACCTTTTCCTTGTTCACATTACTATCTCTTTTCAATAAGACTTCATGCTTTTTCGTTGTAAGGAATATGTGCAACTGTATAATAATAAGACAGCTTCCCTACATGACTCCAAATCTTACACCCTAATGACAGAGAAACCCTAATGCAAAACTGTTTTCACTGAGAATGATTTTCAAGAGTGAAGTATTCAAAGATCTATGCTTTGAGAAAACAAAAGAAAAATTTTCCCTCAGCGCATGTCAAGTGCTGTAGCATAGGTATAATGTGCTATGAGATTTTATTTGAAACTAGTTATAGAAGCAGCCTATATCTAGTTGGGAGAGGAGAGAGGAGACTCTGGGGTTCCTGCAGAGGTTTCCAATGCCTAGGTTCTAGAAGCATCCCTTCCACTGGACAATACTCCCACTCTGTACCAGTGAACACCCTCTAGTCATTGTCCTTTCTTCTCCCCCAGAATCTGAGAATGTAGTGACTGTTTCCATTAACCCCCTGCCCTAGGATCTACTAAATGAACTTTCTTTGTTAAGGTTTTCCACCAACAATGATTTCAAGAGTGAAGGGAAATATTCGAAGGTCTATGCTTTGAGGAAGCAGAAAAAAATGTACCCTCAGCTCAACTTCACTTCAGTCAGTAAAAGGGATCTGAAGAAAGATGGTAAGATCCTCTCTTTCAAAGCAATGGCTTACGGAATTCAGATGTGGGCAGGAGGGACAACCTATGGGGACTAGAGATAAGGGAAAATTGACATTTCTCATGATGGTTCCTGAGACTACTTTTCCTTGTAGCGTGGAAGCTAAGAACTGAGAGGCCCTAGTGGCGCTAGGCTTTGGACCCCGCTTAAACCCTCAAATTTCAAGGAAGCTCTACCATAGTGTTTCCTGATTATATCACCCACCACTTTTATAGTTTTGGCCATGTCAATGTGTTATTTGTCCTATTATTTACTTAATGCTTTTCTTTAAAAAGACTTTTTCTTTTGGTTCTTGTCCTAATTAGTACTATATCATTGACATTATGGGTTTGATATACTAATTACATATTTTTTTCCTGATATACATTTGATAACATTCATAATAATTAAATTTTAAAATGTTTGTGTATCACCCAAAACTACCCAGTCCTATGCATATCACACTTTGAGGACAATTGTTCTAGAAGGGCCAAAGGATAAGTCTGTGAGTCTCAGAGATCCATGAGTGTCTTCGGGGTTAAGAATGGAGTGTGAATGAGGCATGAGGTGGAAGGGGTGGAAGGGGTCTAGGATAAATTTGTATGGAAGAGGGTGCAATAAGAATGCTTCTCACAAATTATCGTTCATTTAACATTTATGGGGCACCTAGTTAGTGTTGGACACTTATCAAGCATCAATAATAGCACTTTCAATAAGCAAGATAGATAAATGGACCAGGCAATGAAAGGGCTTTGTATATTATACAGCTAAGGGCTTGGGTTTTATCCAGCAGGCAGCTGGGACCAACTGGAGGATTTCAGAGCACTCAATAGACATTTGTGTATTAGAAGTTTAATTGATGGGTCCCCAGACGTCACCAACTTACGGCTTCAAGATAGGGTTTGTTTCTCCTGTGGGGTTTCTCTCCTCAAGCAATTTCTGAAACTCCCTAAGGTATGCTTATCAGTTCTACAAGGCCATCTTAGTGAGTGCTTCACACCTCTGCCAGCCATCCTCAGTCCAAAGTCTTGGTTCCAGAGGTGTGAGGTCATACTGTACCCTTCCTTAACTAGTTTCTTCAGACTTCTCTGCTCCTCTTGTACCTATTTGCCACCCTACCCCACACCCACTTGCTGCCTCTCTTAAGTCCCTTCATACAGCTAAAACCAAGCTGTGATAGTGAACAACACTGCACAGATGTGGAGAGAAGTTAAAGAACAGCAGAGAGTCATTTACCTTGAAGAAGGGCTACTCTCAGGCTCAGCCTCAAACCTGCCTCAGTTCCTTCATGCTTCCCAGCAGGCTGCCAGCACCCTACCCATTCTTGGGAGTCTTCTGGCTTATCTACACTCTCTCTGCCTAGTCTCCCAATACCCTTGGCCCAAGGAAGGGGAAGAAGGTTGTTCCTTCCCAAAGCCTTTTTATTTTCAGCCCCAGAATAAGTAAGTGGGAACATCTATTTCCTTCAAGAGAAACTCCACCTGGAAAACAAGGTTTGAGCTTTATATGCCAGATAAGGTAAGCGGAACAGTTAACAGTACATTTAGTAAAGTCAGAGTTAAATGTTAAATGATACCATATGTAGGAGATCAGCAGTTCAGCTTAAATTTGTATCAGGGGAAAGAATTTCTCCAGAATCTAGAACCTAACCTAGATTAGAATTTCTCTAATTTTTCAAGGGTGTGATCTTGTTAAGGATAACTCAGTTTACATTTCTAAACAGAATATGTAATATCTCAGTCTGCAGCATTTATTAGGTTTATGATGACTTTACAGTTTCCCTCAAGAAATATGAGTGGATACTTATTTATGCATCTAAAGGACCCAATATAGTGCTTTTCCTAAACAAAGACAATCTGCTGTGAAGTTGAAACAATGTCTCCACTCAAGTAAACACTGCTAGCAACGCCTCCTTCCACCAATAATGCTCCCGGGTTACCAGGCATCGGCATAAAGAAGGATTACTGACATGGAGGATGGTTTGGATGGGGGCTATGAAGGCTGGTTAGGGATGATAGGACCTGAAACAGATGCAAGGGATATTTACAAGGCATAATGCGTCAAAAAAGTGGGCAGGGATGGGAGCAGAAAAAGCCCACAATGGAAGCTTCCAAGAACAGGGAAAGGCTGAAAGAGAATCTGGATAAAGTGATGACACTGAAGCCAAAGGTAGAAACAATTTCTTAGTTACACTCTCAGACAGGAAAACTGAAAACCAACGCACATTTTAGGAATATACAAGTGAATGCGCCTTGACTTAGTAAGAGTTACATGTCAATGTGGTTGCAGATGAAATCATTTGAAAGGGGTAGGATTAAACAGAAAAGACTCTAAATTGGTAGTGTTTTAAACTGGGTTTTGATGAAGGGAAGGAATCCAGAATTATAAAGAAGGTTAGGAGTGGTAGTCCATGGTCCAAAAATCTACCCTCTTGCTAAGACTAAAGACCCGCTTTCTCGTCCCTCCAAGAGGGTCTCTTTCCTGTCTCACATTAAGTGTCCTTCTAGACGTTCTGGAAATCCACATTCACCAAAGTGCCCTGTGCTTTGTTGCAGTCTCCAAGACGTCAGGGAGTGACATGCGGACTTCCAAGATGATGTGGGAACCACTAACCCTTTCATCGCTCCTGGAAGAGAAGCCCACCAGAACGGCGCCAGGAGAGAACGCCTTCCGCAATGGAAGGGCCCAGCAGTGGATTATAAAAAATACCATTGTCGTTGAGTGACAACAAACCCTTCAGGCCTCTCGCCTCGGTCTCCAGAGACTGAGGGGCCTGCAGAAGTCGCCATCCAAGGCGTGCCGACCAAATAAAGTTGCATTCTGCCCGCTTAGGACGTGAGCTGCCCGGTCGCTGGCAGGGTGGGCCGAGCAGAGCCCCTAACTCCTAACTTGTCGCAGCAGGGGCCAGGATGCGGCCCCGGGGGCCCAGCGCCTGGCCCCGCCTCCGCCCGGCTGGGGGAGGAGCAGAGGGCGTGGCCGCGTCCCCTGGGGGCGAGGGCGGCCGGCAAAGCCGAGGAGGGCGGGCCTTGTCCCCGAGTGACGGGACGCCGGCCCAACCGGCGCCAGAGCACGAGGCCGGCCTTCCTGCAGCCTCTTCCGCTCACCGGCTGCGGCGCCTGGGACGGTTGCGGTGGGTCTGGGCGCTGGGAAGTCGTCCAAGATGATTAAAAAATTCGACAAGAAGGACGAGGAGTCTGGTACGCGCTGGGCTTCTGACGCCCACCCTCAGCCGCGGGGGCCCCTTCCCCCGCCGGCCGCCACCTGCTCTCCGGGACTGCGGACCCGGGGGCGTGGGCGCCGCTGTGCCAGGGGGCCGGAGCTGGAGCCCGGCCCCTCCCTCCGCCCCGCTCCGCTCCCGCCGGGGGCCTGCCCCTCGCCCCTCCCCCGGCCGCCCGGGCCACCCCTCGGGTCGCGCGCTCCCGCCCCCCGGCGCCCGCGCTCCGCATTGGGCTGCACAGGGTCTGCGTGTCGTCCCCTCCGCCCAACTCAGGCGCAGCCCCTCGGAGCCGCCCCCGACCCGCTCACCGGGCGTGGGCTGCCGGCGGAGGGGCGGGCCCTTGGCAGGTGGCGGAGGGAGTGGGTGTGCGCGTGTGAGAGGCGGGGGATGCTGCTCGTTTTAGGCCCAGAGCGGCTCTGAGATCGACGAGACAGTGTGTGTGTGTGTGTGTAAATGAACTTTGAGGGGCCTGGTACCTTACAGTCTTTCTGGGGACCTTTGCTCTGTCCACTTCCCGGGGGCAAAACTGTCCCATGGTACGTAGATCATTTAACGCTCAGGCGTCCAAAAGTGAGTCGCGTCTGAATACCCGTCTTTGGTCCAGAGCAAATAGGGAAGATGCCAGGCTACCTTAAAACAAACAAACACACTCAGTGTTTGATAGGTGCCCTCACAGAGTGTGATCCAGGGTTGGGTTAGTAAACCTCCATGGCCCCTTTCAGCTTTAAGTTTATATGATTTTCTCCTAAACTCCTTTTTTCTGCCTCGCAGTAAATGTTAGAAACACATAAAATAGTGCTTGCCTTTAGGGAAATCTAAAGGACCCTACCACAATCTCGTTAATCTTAGGCGTGTGGACATGACAGGTATTTGTAACATTCATATAAAAAGAGGACAGGGAAAGACGACACATTTCCCGCAGGGCTCCTGCAAAAGAGAAGTGTAAGTTCTTACAGGATGGCAATGACCGAACTAGTACCAGCATCAAAATGATCTTATTCGATTTATATGCATATTAATAATGATCACCACTGATATCCAAGTGGTCACCTCACTTAGGTGAGATATCCCAAGCATTCAATACCCTTTTTTGGAATATAAGTTTGTGTAGGACAGCTGTTAAAGACATTTTTTGTTTTGTAATGTAGGTAGTGGCTCCAATCCTTTTCGGCATCTGGAGAAGAGTGCTGTCTTACAGGAGGTATGGCTTGGAAATATATTGTGTTCTTTCTTTTCTATTCCATTTTAGAATGGTGGGCAGAGAGGCCCTGAAATGTTGCGATCCAAAATAAGAATTAAGGAGTGTAACAGAGTTCAGAGTATATAGACTTGAGGGAGAGGGAAGAGGGCTTCCTTGTTATAGAAGAGTCTAGAGTTTATAGAAAGGCAAAAACATGCAGACTCTGCCACATGTTGAGAATTGTAAATAAAACACTAGAAGAGGTGTTTAGTGCAAGGTTATCGAAGGAAGTTATAGATATTAAGCTCATCGTATTCAAAAGATGTAAATAGATTTTGTGATTCTAACTTAACAGATGAAGCCCACAGAGTTGAAGCAGCAGGCCTAAGGGAATGAGTTAGAGTGTGGAATGGAAAATCAAGGCCATGTCTTATAAGTTATTAAATTGAATTAATATTATTAATTCAATAATATTAATTGAATAATATTAGTAATTCAATAAATTGAATTAATAATAAATTGAAAACTGTAAGCAGCTAACATTATTTGGATGTAGTGATTAAAATAGATAATGGTCTTTATTAAAGTTGGTTTTCTGTCGTCTTTGGTAGAAGATACACAGTGTATAGCAGTGGTTTTTATTTCCATAGGCTCGTCTATTCAATGAAACACCCATCAATCCAAGAAGATGTTTGCATATTCTTACAAAGATTCTTTACTTACTGAACCAGGTAAACTATTTTGATTTTCCTCAGATTTGTGTCCTGGAATAGAATATATGACATGCAGTGAAATGCTTTCTGGAAAGTATTATTATTTATTTTTAAAAAATTCACTTAATCTTAAAATCTACAATGTTTAAGGTAATAATATATCAAACTTCTTGAGGACAAGGATTATGATATATACTTCTTTTTTAGTCATGAGGTCCTGAACCAGTTAAACACGTTGTAGATTCTTAACACTGATATGAATTTAACAAGGATTAAGAAATATTTAACAAGTTGATGTTACGACATGTTGTTTAGATGTCTTTATATCCCTCCAAAAATATAGTACAAAATCCTACACAAATTCCAGATAGATATTTTACCCTTTTTTTGTTGGGAGGGTAATAATAGTGATGTTTTAAAGCTTTGATTTTAATATTTAGATTTTATATTTGTGATGCCTCCTCTACTGTTAAAAACGATATGATTCTGGGCTTAACTGTTTTATACCTTAATGTCCTTTTCTGTAAATGGGGATTATGATAGTACTTGTTTTATAAAGATGTTGTGATTAAATGAGGTAATAAACGTAACGCATTGAGCATAGTCCTGGACACACAGTAAGCATTTGGTACTAGCCTTCATTCAGTCATTCAGCAGATAGTTATTACATACCTGCTATTTCCTATGCACTGTTTTAAGCACTGGGCATATAGCAGACAAAAACCAACAAAAATATTTGCTTTAATGGAATGTAGATTCTATTTGCTGTTATTATTGTTAAATTTTTTTTTTTTTTCGCTTTTTTTGCTTCAGACTAAAAATCTCATGAAATGTCTAGGTTCTTAGAAAATTTGATTTCATTTCTTAGATTCATATATATACATAGACACACACCCACACACATACACACACACAAGCACATGTAAACATACACATACATATATACTTAAGGCGGTTTACATATGGTGCTAAGACGACTATGGTTTCCAATTTGAATTCCATGAGAATATTTTATCTTTACTATGTTTCATGACTGAAGACCTCATCCAGAGACATCATAAAGTTTTCTAGTTTGCAAATGGAGACTGAGCAACAAGTACATACATTTGAATAAAATAGATGTATTTACAAATGTCATATCCCTCTCTGTAGTGTATTAGAAACACTTAAGGCAAAGTCAGTTTAACTTTTCATAGCACACATTTGTGTCGAAGTTGGCTAAATCCATTATATAAACAGAGTTTTGAGTAGTTGAAGTTGGTTCAGAGTAGCATATACTTTTATATTGGCCACAATCTCTTTGATGGGCAACTTATGTTGAAACATTTAGTTATCTTGATAGGGAAATTACCAAGGACAGTCTGGCACATAAACAGGTTTGGGAACTTTAGTTTTATCTTTTGCCTAGTTCTTGGTAGTGCTTTATGGAAAAAAATAGTTGTAAATTTCTACCAGAGTTGACATATCCATATATTCTCTGAGTTTCAAGTCAAAAAGTAGGGACTTAGGACTTACTAATGTGACTTGAAAAGTACATGGATTTCTATGTGTTCACTAAATATTTATGAAAGAAAGAGGGAAATCTGATTATGAGCAACTTGGGTCTTCTGATTTAAGTAATTGTAAACTCTTATTATGCTTTTTCTTTCATCCTAAAATTTCAAAGTTTTTCATAAAAATTTGTTTATTCTTCTACCTATGACAAATAGATTGAAGACTAGTTATATTCTGTGTGAAATATGAAAGTGATTAAGCCTAACATATTATAGGATTGCTTTTAATGAAGAAATTGAACGTTGAGATGGTAATATTTCAGGTGGTCTGTGATCCACAGTGCTTTGACTGTTAGTGAAATAGGTTATCAGACACCTTGCTACTTAAAAAAAATGGTTCCCAGATCAGCAGCATTTGCATCACTGGGAGCTAGTTAGAAATGCAAAGTTTCAGGCTTTATCACAGAGCTGCTGAATTAGAATCTGCATTTTGGCAAGATCCTCGTGATTGATTAAGCACATTAAAGTTATGATCCAAAGGGGCTTGCGCGAGTGTCTTGAGATCTGTTGGCAGCCCCTTAAGCCAACTTTTATATGACTAATCTCGTTCCTGCTCCTTTGGTTGGTCCTTTTTAGCCATGTTTTCTGGGATTCCTAATAGACAGTTCTTTATGGTTTAATATTATTGTGCTCCTTTGATGTGTCAGGCTTTGTGCTGGGCGTTGGATTATAGAAACGTATAAGGTACGCTCTCTGCTCAGAGGCAGGTAACAGTAACATCTTATTCTGATTAGGAACTCAACTTGCTGTCATTTTCTACCTCCTTATAAATCACCGTTCTTCTGGGAAATTAAAATAGTTCTTGCCAAAAAGTTAGAGACCACTATTCCAGAACTTTTATAGCATGGTGTGTGATACTGAATTGTTTTAAATAAGAAGCGGATAAATGGTTATGCACATTTATAAATTGAAAGCCAGAAAAATAGCAAAAGGCAGAATATTTACAAAGTGGTTTTTTCCTGAGCTCTGAAAGATTTTTGCATAAATAAAGAGAAAATCCTTAATATACTTTTTGTGAAGTTTAAGGGGTTGTTTTGCATTTTACTTAGGGTGAGCACTTTGGAACTACGGAAGCCACGGAAGCCTTCTTTGCAATGACTCGATTGTTTCAATCTAATGATGTAAGTCTTGTTTTTTTATTCTTCTGGGCTGAAAAACCTCCTTTTATTTGTTTTCCTTGGAGAACT